CTTTCAAATAACTCTCCATCCGGTGAATGAACCTACAAGAATTTACAAGAAGGCAAAATATAAATAAAGAATTAGAGTTCACGAAAACTTTAGGATTCCAAAAGAGAAATAATGGCTCATAAATACAAAAGTTGTGAATCTAAATTACAAAACAGCTTCAATATTTTAGAATGCAAGGACTGCAACAATAACACTGGATACTTGAAGATCCTCAAAATTCTTTGCATTTCTTGAAAATGTAAGGTGCACAATTTCAAGATAGGAGCAAAGATTTGTGCATGCACATGTTGTGATAGTACCCCCGGTTTGAGGTACGTCCACTGTCATGTTCAGCAAGAAGGATAAGGATTATTTTCCTATAAACTGGTTCTAATTTATTCTGATTGATGTTGAACTCATCTGCTAAATTCTCTCCACAAAAACCCAAGCAATTTTGCTTTGCAAATGATGGAGCCTGATTTCAAGGTGAAATTAGTTTCAGAACTAACCTGACACCTCCCCAGCCCCCCCATACCCCCCCCCACTGATATCCCTTTTCCCTTCTCCACCTATTATACAGAAGATCCTAGACATGTGAATCGCTGTGTCACCCACTACCACCTAGTCTACAGATTTTCATCTGGTACAAAGTGAGTCATTTTTTTTGTTTTTTGAGTTTTGACATACCCCAAATCATATCTGTGGTTATCTAGCAGCATACGTTAGAGGCAGAGCAGTGGCACTTTGGGCGGCCGTCTCTGCATCTCTTGGGCCACAAATTATTTGTTCTACAAATATTGGAGCTTAGTTGATGAAATCTGGGCTGAAAATGCAATTACAGCATGCAAACATCTCCATTCTTATCAATGACTGAAGAGCATTTATTTCTCTCTTTGCCGTGGTGTCAGAACTTGATTTGAATCAGTCTCAGAAGATGGTGGCAAATGAAGGCTTGGTGCCTGCCAACACTCTGCATTCCAGACTTCTGAGTTCCTTTCTGTGCGAAGAGCACTGGAGACAGCAATACATTCCAGATTTACATTATGCTTCTCACAGTAGCGCTATTCAAATCTGTGTTAGCATTCCAACTAAATTGAAATCATTTGCTTTTACCCTTTAATTACCACCCCACGAAAAAAAGCAGTGAATCACTTAAAATGTGCTTAGTGAAATGGTTGAGCAGGACATTAAAGACTTAACAGAGTAATCTTTCTAAATTTCGTCAAAGGAATGGGAAACGCTGAAATTCAAGTAAATAAATAAATAAATTGGAAGAGTCCATCAGAAGACCTGGGAGCTAAAAGAACCTGAGTCACATTTTTTGACAATTCAAGTTTAGAATGAAAATATGGTATAATTGTCCAGCCAGCAACGCCACCAATTAATGATTCCAAAGGACTCCCTTCGTATGGTAAATTGACGTTTGGTTGGAGTGTTTCCAAATCATCACTGTATTCCGAGTCATGATGAGAACGTGTTGACAAGATACGCATGCGTCAGAACATTGTGAATGATATCAGTACACTAGAGATACTCAAGTCTACTAATTCAGTGCCGTGGGTTTGCTGGTCTACAATGTGTTATTTCAGTTAGATACAAATACCTAAAATTTAGATCTATGTGTGTATGTCCTCTTGTCTGCCTCTGCATCTATCTAAGTTAGACCTAAATCTAGAAGCCTCGGAGCACTTATCATTACAGTGTTGAAGATTGAGTTTCATAGCAATTTATACTTTGGTTCCAGCTAACTGTTAGTGTAATGATATCTGTGTAGATTTCACACATATTGGTTTATGCATGTCTTTGGGAATAGAATTCTGTACTTTTAATTGGGAGGCAGTTACAGTTTTTCAGGTCTTGTTTGGTGGATGTTGATCATTATGCCTTGTTAATACATTTCTAATGCAATGCTCAGGGACCTAGAATATTAAGCTTTTTTTTCCTTTCTCACTAAAACCTGCAGTGAGAAGAACATGGCAACCACAGTCCTACACATTGCTGGCAGCAGCTGTAAAAGCTACACTAAGCTGATGAAGCTGGTAGAGGCAGCGCTATTACATTACTTGCATCCATGAAAGACCACGTGGCACAAAATATCGACCTGTTTTTTTTCCCGATTATGGCGATGTTTATGACGATTAATAAGTACTTTCAACTTGCATTGCTTTCACTGCTTTTGTTTTTCTTAGGTGAGATAAATTCATCCAGTTAGAAAATTTTATCTGAATGCACTTTTCTGACCGAGTTCTTCCTTATTTTCTGCCAAAAATATCCAGATCCTGGCCAGATGCAAAACAAGTTCCAAAGTCAAAAGAACAAAAATGGCCCAAACTCAATATTGCTGAGGTTTCAAATGCTGAGACCAGTATGCACAAACTGCAAATATCAAGAATTATGAAGCAATGATGAAGCATTGCTTAATATGGGCAGTGAAGCAGTGTACAGTAAACATTTTAATTGAAATGAAAAATGAAAATTTAATTGAAAATGAATAAACAATTGCATCTGTCACCGCAAACCAGAGCGAGAGTCGAAAGTGTGAATCACGGATGTCCTTTCTCTTTAGTGTCATCATGTCTCCTGTATGTGAGAGGCACTGGAGAGTGGCAGCAGCTTAAACACTGCTGAGCTCTCTCACTCTGCCAGTATTTTAGTTCATTCTGCTCCATGTCTCTGGGCAATGCCCAGGGACCCATCTGTCGCAAATTCTCTGTCCTACTGGGAGCTGCTGTAGTGTCATACGTCTCCTCTGTATTTTATCCTTCACTTAGGTATGCGCCGCGCGCTTTTGTCTGTGAGACAGGTGGCAAAACCGCCCTCAGGTATGATCAGCCTCGTCTTTTAAAGGTATTTCTGCTTTGAAGTGAGCTATAAAGCGGCACCACTACAGCAATCAGCTGTGTGAAAAAGCACACAGGCTCCTGCAGTGATGATGGTGCTGACTCATAGGACTAAATGCGAACCGCAGACCTGCGCTAGCTTTTCCACCGGGCCTTTGCTGCCTTCACAAATCAGGAAGAAGGGAGCTTGGAAACGACTTTTAAGTGTTGCACCTGTGGTCTTTATTTTGAATCTAAATTTAACATGTGTGTTTGTGGACAGTTTTTATGTATGTAACTTGTAGTCAGTGTAAATGTTTGATTCTGATATCCATCAGTTTTAGTTTTCTTTTGGATGCACAGGGGTGAGAATGCAGGGGGCAGGAATGAAACAGATTTTGAGCAGATTGAAGGGAAGGAAGAGGATTGAACATTAAGGTCATTCAGAACTTGAGGTAAAAACCATTTAACAGGGCAGCTCATTTAATTGGGAATTCACAATGAGGCAGGGTACAGTCAATTATGCTAATTGACTTTGAATAAAAATGGGAAAGCAAGACTTTACCTCCTCTTTAAACAGGCATTAAGCATGCACTTGGACAGATTTCCCCAGATACCTCAGTCTGGCCCCATTACTGTACAGTGAGATCTTCTGCTTATTTGCTGGTATCAGCTCAAAGCTAGAACTGTACTGTACGTCCGCTAATCTAATTCCATCCTCGATAGGCTTATTGTAGAATTATTCTACTTATCAGAGAAACATCAGTGTGTGTATATATATATATATATATATATATATATATATATATATATATATACAGTCACGCCCAAAATTATTCATACCTCTACCAATTTTTGTTTTTTTTCGAGATATTTTTTGACAAATCAAATTTATTCTTGCACAAATGACACAGTAAGTTGACATAAGGCTGTAAGAAGTACAGTAAACAATTTTTCAAGAAATACAATACTTTTTGGTATTTTATTTGATAGATTTACAAAAAAATGCCATGTCCAGAATTATTCATACCCTTTTCTCAGTAATTGATGGCAAAGCCTTTATTCATGATTACAGCCTCCAAACGCATCCTGTGGTTGATCACAAGGTTTCTACACGCCTCCACGGGGATTTTGGCCCACTCCTCTTTGGCGAACTTCTCCAGATCCTTAAGGTTTAAGGTTTCCTTGTCATGACCTTGGTCTTCAGTTCCCTCCACAGATTTTTTATAGGAGTGAGGTCGGGGCTCTGGCTCGGCCACTCCAAAACGTTCACTTTGATTGTCCACTAACCATTTCTTGACAGATTTGGCCGTTTGTTTAGGATCATTATCCTGTTGGAAGATCCATTCCTGCCCAAGACCAAGTTTTTCGCCGGATTGCTTAATGTTTTCACTGAGGATCTGGATATACTGGTCCTGTTTCATGATACCATTAACTTTAACAAGGTTTCCGGGCCCATTCGCTGAAAAGCAACCCCAGAGCATGATACTCCTGCCGCCTTGTTTGACCGTTGGGACAGTTTTTCTCGGGTTGAAGACTTCACCTTCCTTATGCCTCTTACACTTCTCCAACCCAGACACACAAGAACTAGTCTAGCCTTTGCAAAAGCTCACCTGGATGAAGATACAAGCTTCCCTAGAGGAAAATTTTACTGCTCAAAGCTGGCTTTTCCACAGCTCCGGAGACAAAATTGTGATTCTCAGTTCTACCTCATTTTAATTTCATTTAAGATTCTACTTCGTCTTATATGTTTCTCCTAAAATTCACTAGGAGAAATAGGTGAGACAGGACACTGAGCAACAGGAGTCATGTTTGAGACTTAACGGAGATACCTTGCTAAAGCTCAATTTAGTTTCATTTTTGATTTTATTTTGTCTCATATGTTTCTCCTAAAATTCACTAGGAGAAAAAGGTGAGACAGGACACTGAGCAACAGGAGTCATGTTTGAGACTTAAAGGAGATACCTTGCTAAAGCTCAATTTTGTCTCATATGTTTCTCCTAAAATTCACAAGGAGAAATAAGTTGAGCCAGAACAAAATGGTAAATGGACTGCATTTATATAGCTCTCTAGTCACATGACATGATCCCAAAGCACTTTACAACTATGCCTTATATTCACGCTGTTGGCGGGGGCTGCCATGCAATTACACATCAGGAGCAGTGAGGGGGGAACAGTGTCTCGCTTATTTGACACATTCTCTGGAGGAGCCGAATCGAACCCGGTAACCTTCTGCTTTCTAGGCTGCCCGCTCTACCTCCTGAGCCATGCCGCCCTTTAATAATATAGTGTACATATTACTTGTGTATATATATACACATACGTATATTTTAAATAAAAAATGTTTTATGTATACATTATATATACACAGAAAATATATAAACACACACACAGTAATAACCAACAGTAATTGTACACTTTACCAATGTTGTAAGAAAAACCCTTTATTAGATTTTTCCGAATGCTTGGGCACTATATTTGAAACAATAGTCTCCTTTCTAGATGTTTACCTGCCAACCACATATAGGGCTGAACACGAAAATGAATCATTTGAATGCAAAGTTATGATTTACAATTTTTTTTTAGGAGGAATAATATCATAATTGCAACATCTCATTACTTATGAGAAAATTTCCATGTGGATGTATTATTGAAGTCACCCCCAAAATGTTGATGAGATATCCAGTCAAAAAATACTGTGATATTTGCTTGTCAGTGTTATGTAACCCTTCTGTTTCAGATGTCCTTGTTGTTTGTTTTTTAGAAGACAAGCATGTAATATCAATTAAAATGAGAAGTCTCTGCATATGTGTTCACATTTTCTTTTCATGGTTTGAGGAATATCTTAGTCATGCAGCTCCCTCTATAGATTTATTTACCACCAGATATTCATGAGTGCAGTTTAAAAAAAACAAAACAATGTCTGGATGAGAATTCATTGAGTGCTTGCAGAGAGCTCTTTATTTGCTCTGTCTGAGATCACCATGAGAGGCATGAACTGAGTAATTAACAAAGACTTATAAAGGCTAGGATGAGAATACAGGTGCTAAATGAGGTGCTAAAGTGGAGAAAATCTGAGATTTGATTTTAGAGCTTGATGAGATCTCTTTTGAAACGTCAAAGGAGGCTAATTTGAGCTCTAAAATCTGAGACTGATTTTTAGAGCTTGATGAATCTCTTTTGAAGCGTCAAAGGAGGCTAATTTGAGCTCTAAAATCTGAGACTGATTTAGATTGATGAGATCTTTTGAAACGTCAAAGGAGGCTAATTTGAGCTCTAAAATCTGAGACTGATTTTAGAGCTTGATGAGAAAACGTCAAAGGAGGCTAATTTGAGCTCTAAAATCTGAGACTGATTTTAGAGCTTGATGAGATCTCTTTTGAAACGTCAAAGGAGGCTAATTTGAGCTTTTGTCTGTCTTTTTGCTCTGGAGAAAAAAGTGAGAAACAGGAGAAATAAGCTATAGTCTCACTCGGGTTTCACACAGATCTCATAGTTGTCTAGGAGAAATAAATGAAACATTTCTGAGAGCTCTTTTTCTGATTTTCGTTTCCTCTGGGTCTGGCTGTCAATGTTATGGACGACGAAACAAAGATGGAGCTGTTTAGGCACAGCGATGGGGCTATTGTTTGGCGTAAGAAAGGTGAAGCGCTCAACCCGAAAAACACGGTCCCAATGGTCAAACAAGGCGGCAGGAGTATCATTCTCTGGGGTTGCTTTTCAGCAAATGGGCCCGGAAACCTTGTTAAAGTTAATGGCATCATGAAACAACCAGTATATCCAGATCCTCAATGAAAACATTAAGCAATCCAAAAAAACTTGGTCTTGGGCAGGAATGGATCTTCCAACAGGATAATGATCCTAAACACACGGCCAAATCCGTCAAGAAATGGTTAGTGGACAACAAAGTGAACGTTTTGGAGTGGCCAAGCCAGAGCTCCGACCTCAATCCTATCAAAAATCTGTGGAGGAAGCTGAAGACCAAGGTCATGGCAAGGAGACCCTCAAACCTTAAGGACCTAGAGAAGTTCACCAAAGAGGAGTGGGCCAAAATCCCCGTGCAGACGTGTAGAAACCTTGTGATCAACTACAGGACGCGTTTGGAGGCTGTAATCGAGAATAAATGCTTTGCCGTCAATTACTGAGAAAAGGGTATGAATAATTCTGGACATGGCATTTTTTGTAAATCTGTCAAATAAAATACCAATAAGTATTGTATTTCTTGAAAAATTGTTTACTGTACTTCTTACAGCCTAATGTCAACTTACTGTGTCATTTGTGCAAGAATAAATTTGATTTGTCAAAAATATCTTTTTGGTAGGGGTATGAATAATTTTGGGCGCGACTGTACATATGATTAAAGATTTGACAGTCTTCGCGGCACTCGTCTTACATTGGTGCCAGAGGATACAGTATACAGAAACATATAGTTAACAAAATTAAAATGAAAATGCAATGTCAGAAATGCATTTTCATTTTCAAGATACAAGCGCATTATTTGTATCATAATGAAAATGCAAATGTAATCCTCCACTTTGCATTTACCTTTTCAAGTCCATGTATGCAATTTTAATAACAAATGGAAAATTAAAATACATTCCTCATTTGCATTTTCGAGAAGTGCCTGCAATATCACTAACAAAACAAAAACGCTAATCGTATAAAGCAAATGCATTCTGGGAAATGCTTTTACCTTTTCGAGGAGCATGCGCTTTATTTGTATCATCATGAAAATGCTAAAGTAATCCTCCACTTTGCGTTTGCATTTTCAAGTCCATGTAGGCACTGTTTTCATTTGCAAGAAGTGCCCCGCAATATCACTAACAAAACGAAATCGAAAACGCTAATCTCATAAAGCAAATACATTCTCGGAAATGCTTTTTCTTTTTCAAGAAGCAGACGCGATATCTGTCTCATAATTAAATCGCTAATGCAGTTCGCCACTTTTCTTTGTCATCTTCATGAGAGACTGCCGTGCCTGGCTTTGCATTTTCGATTTCGAGGTCCCACGCGTTGTTCCTAACATAATTCAAATTTTAATGCAATCTGTTGTTGGCTGTGTGAGAAGGCGGGACTTCCCTTCTCAATTTGGTACAGATTGGATATTAACAAATACAAGCGATCTCATTGGTTATCAATCAGAGGGAAATTCCTCCTGTACGAGCTTGTTTGCCAAAGCACCAATGGTAACTTACATAGTTGGAGGCACTGACTGTGCATGGACTGACTGTGCAGGAATTATTTTGTGAAGCGCGTATCGAGGTGTGTATTGATGACGTATGCGATCACTTCGGACGCCTCGCCAGCCGGCCGTACCTCGTGACCGGTTCATGAAGTGGTTCGCAATTTAGCACGCGATTCGAAATAAATAGGGCTGTAGAACGCGATGGGGATCTCGAACATTTTGTGGATTCTGACCGTTAGAAATTCTGATTGTGTGTTGACCATCAAAAACCCTTTTTTGTTTGCGATGGAGCCGCTAAGAAAGAAAAGGATTTCCCCAGTGTGGGAACATTTTGATCTAATTTCTCCCAACAAGGTATGTGTATTAATAACTGCAGATGCATTTCTCCCAGTGAAAGACTCTTTTCCAAAGCAGGGGAAATATTATCCAAACAAAAGAAATCACCTGAGCCCCAATACCGTGGAAAAACTTTTATTCCTGAACAAAAACCGATAGTCTCACCCCAAGCACATTCACTGCCCATATCCCAAAGTCTCAGCCTGCATTCACTGCCTCACTTCAAAAGTTACAAAAGCATGCTCATTGCCCTCACTCCAGTTTAACAGAAAATTTTTACTTCGCATTAAATGCAAACTCTTTTTTTTTTATTATTGTTTATTGCTCAGCAAAATAGACACCATATGGTGATATGAGTGCATTGCATATTTCTTGGCGAAATTGACAGTTTCATTCACAGGCATTTTGCAAGATAAGCGAGCTCACGAAGTGGAGTTGGCATGTCATGAAAGACTGTTTCTATTACTGGGTCGAATGTCAAGGTGCATAAACAAACCAGTGATGCCATATTTGTGAATTAGCCGCAAAGTAAGAAACAGTCGTTGTGGAGGGACAGATGCAGATGCTAGGATCATGTTAATGCCAGATATTTCTGCATCAATGACCTTAGTGGACCAGACATCCGTTTTAGTCCGTGAGGGCCAGAAAATAGACCTGTTCATATTAAAAAAAATACAATACTTGACGCTTGTTTTCAAAATAAAATAATTAGTTCTGTCGTTTTCCACATGAATCTGTCTTTTGTCTTTCTCATGAATTCAACAGTTGTCTCCGAAGAGGAAATTAATATTGTAATTATGCTGTCATCATTTAGATATCGATAACAAATGACATGTAATTGTACAAACGGGAGGGGACAGATAAAGCAGACCGGACATAAACTTGGTCTCCGGTCATGCAGTGGCATTGAATGTCTTAGTTATAATACAACTTTTAGATAAACCCTGCCATGAAAAGCCCACAGCGGCCAAAACTCATCTTTTGTTCGTCAGATCATATCCAAAAGCACGAGAATTAACTATGCAGCACCATCAGGAATTTTCAACTCTGGAAAGTTCCAACAGTCACGTTATATATTTCGCAACGAATAGCATTATCGAACATTATGTTACCCTAAATCGTTTCAGCAAACGACTGCTGGGGAAATAGAAATGTATTGGTTGTCAGCGTAATGGGCGGGCTGGTTGTGCTTAGTGCGCTACCGGGCTTGATCGCTATACTGGCACCCTGCTGGACTACATTTTCCACAGTTACCAGACTCCTGTACTGCTGAGCCCTCTGAGTGTTTGTTTCTTTTTGGCGGCACATTGAACACTTGAGCTCCATAAACAAGAGCTCGAAGCTCCTCCACTCTGCCAGTAACAGGCAAGCCCCTGTCACGTAAGTACTGCTGCAGGCGATCCCTTTTCCACAGGCAAATCTCGGTGTAGGACTGCTTTGCCGCCATTCCTGCACTGCGTCAAATGTGGGTTTGTTTATGTGTCTTGACCTCTGACCTTTTGTACACGGCCCTAAAAGAGCGGAACTGTGAGCTCGCTTATACGACACTATGTCATCTGTGATATTTTTGCCTGTTTTACACTCTTTGTGAAGTAGATGGCACAGTGAGCAAATGAAGCCTCAAGAAGCGTCACCCATTAGTGAACTATTTTGGGAGAAAGCTTCAGTGCTCCATGAAGCTTCATCTCGCCATCACTACTTAACACTCAGATCAATCAATGGTTGGATGCGATTTGTTTTACAAGCAGGTTCAT